ACTTGAACACAAGTTATTGTCTGGAAACTAGAAAAATGCTTATTTTTGGCCTCTTATTCCTAAACCTTTAAGGCAATTACCCCCAAACTCAAACCCAGCTTTCCCTTCGTGATATGGAACCTTGTAGTACAATTTCATAAAGATCCATACACTTACACACAAGTTATAGTCCTGAAACTAGAAAATGCTTGTTTTTTGCCCCTTTTTAGTCCCTAATTCCTAAAATTTTGAGGCAATTACCCCCAAACTCAATCCCAGCCTTCCCTTTGTGGTATGATACCTCGCAGTACAATTTCAGAGAGATCCATACACTTGAATACAAGTTATTGTCTGGAAACTAGAAAAATGCTTATTTTTTGCCCCTTTTTGGCCCCTTATTCCTAAGCGTTTTGGGCAATTACCCCCAAACTCAATTCCAGCTTTCCCTTTGTGATATGGAACCTTGTAGTACAATTTCAGAAAGATGCATACACTTACATACAAGTTATTGTCATGAAACAAGAAAAATGCTTGTTTTTTTTGCCCCTTTTTTGGCCCCTAATTCCTAAAATTTTGAGACAATTACCCCCAAAATCAATCCCAGCATTCCCTTTATGATATGGAACCTTGTGGCACAATGTCAGAGAGATCCATACACTAACACACAAGTTATTGTCTGGAAGTTACAAAAATGCTTATTTTTGGCCCCTTTTTGGCCCCTAATTCCTTAACTGTTGGTACCATAACCTTCAAAATCAATCCCAACCTTCCTTTTGTGGTATTGAACCTTTTGGTAAAATTTCATAGAGATCCATTCACTTTAACTAAAGTTATTGTGCGAAAACCAATGTGTCCTCGGACGACGACGCCAATGTCATACCAATATACGACCGCAAAAATTTTTTGCGGTCGTATAAAAACTGCAAAATTTTCTTAAAATTACCAATTCAGGGGCAACAACCCAATAATGGGTTGTCTGATTTGTCTGAAATCTATATTCCCCAATGATGATTATGGCCAAGTTTGGTTTACTTTGGCCCAGTAGTTTCAGAGGAGAAGATTTTTGTAAAAGTTAACAGATGACGAAGGACCCCCAAGTGATGATAAAAGCTCACTTGGCCAGGTGAGCTAAAAATACCTTACATTAGAGCTCTACGATTTTAGTATCATGCCATATTATTAAAATAGTTTCTCTATTACTTTCAATTCCCTGTATATGTAGATGTCTTAAAATTAATGTATTTTATGTCTCTCCTTTGGATTGAAGGATATCAGTTTTAAATAAATTAAAAAGTACAAGTACTAAGCAAGTTGATTGTCTGACCACATAAATAACAAAGGCAGAAAAAAGTAGCTTATTTGCTTAAACTTTTTCCCCATGCATAGTAAATAATTAGTAAACAAATCTAAAGAATAAAAGGAAAAGGAAAAACTTTGGCACTGACTCATGTTATTGTATAGTAAATCAGCTGATTATGTTCTTACCAGCTGCACATGGTCAATCAATTAAAAGCAATAAATTTCATTAGTTTAAGTGACCACAAATAATTGCTCCCAATCAAGCATTAAATTTCTCTGACCCTAAAATGTTGTGGAACAGCTGAAGTGTTATACCAAGTGTTTTTATGGAGGCTACAAATGTACATGAATACACATAGATCTACATAACATTTATCCATTTTAACTAAACATGTTATTGACAGGCAGTTGGTTGTCTTTTTTAACATTTACATATATATTTACTGGTATACATGTACTAAATTATTATTTACTGAACTTCACAGAGGTTCAGAATATTTTTGTTTTGTTTTGACCCAAATAATGACTTCAGACAAAAATATATATTATACATGTCTATATAATAATACATGATCATATGAATAGAATTAAATATCTCCCTTGAGTGCCCAACTGTTTTCTGGAATATTGCTTGTATTATGTTTTTGACATTATTGAATCAAAATGTCAATATAAGCAGACACAAAATAAAGGAAAAAAAGATTGTACCCACTTAATAAAGAGAAGAAATTTATATTTGTTCTTTGACTACACAAAAAGTAGGTATATTATGTTTGATTGAAACAGGAAAGAAAATTACATATATATATATATATATATATATATATATATATATACAATATGAAGATTTGGATAAAGATTGAGGTTTTATTACATTATATTCTTTGATGTATAGCCTGTTCATTTAAGAATATAAATCGCATTAACAAAATCCATTCGCCCTGATTACATGTTTGCCCTGGGTCTGTTCGCCCTGAGTTCATTCGCCCATAGAGTCCGTTCGCCTAGGGTCCGTTCCCCCTACTTCTATTAAAACATATTGTTTTATGGGTATTAAACTTTAAAAAACTTATTCAGATATTAATATGGTATAAATTCTGGAAATTTATGAAAACACATAGAAATATTTAAAAGTTGTTGGCTTAAGATTTGTTTTAGAGCATTAATTGTTCAAAATAATAATTCTCACTGATTGTTGTAATGGATTAATAATAAAAACAACATTTTATTTTGATAAACTAGCTATATAGTCAGCTTGGAATGAGTAAAAACAATGATGTACAAATTTTTAAACTTGAAAAAGATGTAAATTCATATTGTTATCAAATTGACTAACCAGAATTAATAAAATTGTTAACAAATATCAATAAGATAAGTACAATGTATTCCAGGGAAGTGCTATTTTGCAGGTTGCAGGTCGCAGGTTGCGGGTTGCGGGTCACACATATAAATATTATATATGTAAAAAGGTCATATTAGGGGAATTAAAACATATAAAATCTACCCCATGACTGATAAATTTACAAATTATTTCTTACAGTACACATACTGTAGGGTAGAAGTATATTGTCTTTTTTTTTATCATAATCTTCAAATTCAATAATCATAATTTTAATACACATACATGTATCTTTTGATGCTTATCATACCGCTCAATTGCTATTAATAGTTCTAAACATTGATTCTAGTGAAGTTAAAGTAATAAAAACTTCAAATTGACATAGGCTGAACAGGTTCTATGGAACACATTAATCTGTCTTAATCTATAGTTACATAAACAATTAAATTCCTTTCAGTTGACATTCAACATCTTTGAGGCTAATATTAAGAAATTATAAGCTCTAGATAATTATATGCATTTTCTTGCATGAACATAATAAATTTAGTGCAAGAAACAAACAAAATAATTTGCTTCCCAATTCTGTTTTTATTTATGTAAAGACCCAAAACCTTGAGTCTGTTCTGTTGCAATTGTCCATTTACAATTTGTCTAATGATTTAATAGTAAAAAATGTATTTATTTTTTTAAGAAGGAGGCGGACATCCTGTTTCTTAAGTATATACCTCCCCAAATTTCAAGCAGGGATAATATAAGCTCACCTGCATTCCATTTTCCATTTGCATTTATTTTGATTTTACATTAACAAGTCAAGGGAATAGAGTTAAACAATATGGAGTAAAGTTTTGAGAATTATAGTTAAGTTTTAAATGAATTCTTATTATTACAAAAACAATAAAAAAAAAATTTAAAAAAAATATGGCAAGAATTGTACCCACTTTCCATAAATTTAATATTTCCAAGGGATTCAACTTTTTAAAATAAAGTTGATCGTCCACCATTTTAGAACTTGTCCGAGATATTGCTGATATCAACCTATATAATAGTACAAGTTTTATAAAAATCTGACAAGAATTGTACCCGTGAGATCACCAACGAGGCCATTTTCCATATATTTAATATTTCTAAGGGCATAACTCTTTTCAAAAATGTCGATCGTTCACCATTTTCGAACCGGACGGACAGACAGACGGACGCCCGGTATTTCCATGTCCCCCCGCAATGCGTTACGCGGTTGACAAAAAGATATCTATCATAGCGTATAAACGCAGTCTTTTAAGACAAGACTTTTAAATAGGTAGACTTTTGAGACGGACCCTTGCTATGAATGCAATAGAACTAAAAAGCTAAAAAATCCAGAAACTTACATCTAGTTAAAAGGCAATAAGTCTTTACCACTATATAAAAACTGTGTCAAGTCTTGATGTTTTAGTATGTATGTTCTATGCATTTGTTGAAAGTTTTACCCAAATGTTTGTTAAGTTTTCCCTTTTCGAACAGAAAGTGTATGTATTAGATAAACCCTGAGGGTGTTAGACCAATTAAGTGCATTTACATCTCAAGATATTATGATTAATGTAAATTGATAGATTTCTATTTATAGGTGTAAGTTTATTTACACCAGAATTTTGTTTAATGTAATTGGATACCCTGCCTTTAACATTGATCATTAAAAATTGTGTAAATTAGATACACCCTCTCATGCTAATGCCCTCGTGGTATATCTAATACTTTAACCCGCAACCTGCAACCCGCAACCTGCATTTTAGACAATTTCTGTATTCCAGTATTCCACGCGCGACTATGCAAATTAAAGGAAAATAATTTATATTTCATTTTTGGTTGCAGCAAATACAAATTTTCGACAAATTTTTCAACAAACTTTAACATACTCTGTTCAAATAATAAACATTATGCAACTAGACTATAATAAAAAAAAATATCAGAATGAAATTTGAAAAAAAAAGGCAGGACAGGCCCGCCCCGGTTTGAGTAATAAAAAGGCGTGATGAGACATTTTGGCCCAAAAAAAGGCAGGATGACTATTTATGGAAAAAAAAGTCAGGATAAACTAATGAACTAGTACACATTTTTGTAAAAGGGCCAGATGAAGCACGTCTCCGGATGCGGAATTTTCTCGCTATGTTGAAGACCCATTGGTGGCTTTTGGCTGTTTTCTGCTCTTTGGTCAGGTTGTTGTCTCAATTTTAATACAAAAATCTTAAAAAGGCAGGACCGAATATTCAGTAGAGTGAAAAATACAAAGGCTGCGGCTGAGGAAAGACATTACAACTAATAAAATGAAGTACAAAATTGTTCATCCTAGCCCCATAAAAATCAAATGGTGGTCCCTTATCAATACCTTTAACCCCTTCCACCATCCCCCCCCAACAAAAAATCCAGTCCCTCTTTAAACGTACATTGCTCTCACACTTGTTTTAACTAAATGATTACCATATATATATTGAAATCATTTCAACAACATGCTCCTGTCGTACTGACGTGTTTTCATTCAGCAAAGCTCTGCATGACCTGCATCTTCAAGGTCACAAAAAGTTTGTCTTTCTTGAACTGGTTTCCTGATTTATTTGGATAACAGACGCTTTTTCTATCGACACTGCCACTCTCTTGACTCTTGTAGATCGAACTTTAACAGATTGAAGGTCAGAATGTTTGTTCCGATTCCACAGACCTGTTACCTGTTACCTATTCTGTAAATTCCACCTTTTCCAGATGAACCACTTCAGTTGGGAAATCCTAAGGTAAAGGTATGGGGAAATCTGGATTTAGAATATTTTTTTGTCATCTGCTTGACCACAATAAAGTCAATGCTTAATAGATAGAGCAATAATTTCCCTTATACAGTTTAATAAAACAAATTTAAAATTCAGAAATAAAGATAATTCATTTAATCAAGACTACTAAATATGGACCTATTCAAGTACACCTTTTAGGGTGTGCTTGACTGGATTGTATTTTTATATGTTGTGTAGGACTTTTTGTAAACGATAAATGCTGGCATGGACATAATACTTGTAAGTAAGTTAAATTTTATAATGAAAATCTGTAATAGATAAAACTAATTAAAAGTCTGTGTTTTTTTTACAAAAATCTAGGCTTTACTTGCACAAAATCCCTATTTTCTATTGACCTATTCATCTACATCACAGGTATTTGGGGCATGGACCCTCCTTATTGGGCCCCACTGTAAAAAAAAAATCTTTTTTTTCCCATATTTACAATTTTGTACAATGTATAGACATATAACCTGATAACAAGTCTCAACAATCCATTATTAGTCGATTACAATACCTTTTTTTACTATCAACACAAAATGTAAAAATGGCTTGTCACTTTTATACTGTATGTATATAGCTGTTCTTTGAAATTTTTTTAATACATTGTTGGCGAGCCATCTTATGTCTTATTAATATTTACATGTACTTGGGACCTTTTAAATGTTCAAAACTGTTCTTAAAAGTAACCTGGAGAAATTTCTAGACACCATTCATTTAAGGTCAAACGCCTTGTGACCTTAGGTTGAACCTCCTACTGGAGCCCCAGTGTATGAATGCATGTACATATCTTACTAAGGAGGTTGATCTTACATTAGAGTTGGTTGGGGTAATTCCGTACACTTTCGGTCCTAAATGAAAGTCATTTGGTTCCCTGTTTGACAAACAAGCGAAATGTAATATGTATTGTATTTACCTGCCTGTACGAAATTACCCTGATCAACTATAATCTTTATCATGTTTATAGATTAATCATTTATGCTAATTCTTTTTTTTTTCATTAATAAAAAAATTCTGCAGATGATTAAGTATAATTTTATAACTTATATTTATTTCCAACAAACTAAGAATGTTTAAAATTTTAAAAATTCACAGAATCTAAATAACAAAATTTTAACTTCGCATTATTTGTTAAAGGGAGTCCCCCCACAGTATATACTCAGTTCTTCATTATGGTAGGATCACATGTCCTGTGCATGCTGTGTTTATAGTATAATAGATTTATTATGTCTTGTCTATCTGAAGTTTGGTTAAACTGCCTACTGGGAAAAACATTATTACATGATTACATTCCCTATTACTACTATTATATAGTCAATTATGTGTGAAAAATTTCAATTTCATGGGTTTTAATCCCCCAGGATGTGAAACATCATAAGAATTTGTAGATATAAATGAAGAGATATGAAAATTTTATCCTCAGTTATGTGTCAGTCACTTAAAGACAATAAAAACATTAATTTAGGGTAATAAATATTCCTAAAAAAATGAACATTGAGAAGTTCTCATTCTGACACATCATCATTTCAATGATCAATTAAATCATCTTTTATTAGGGAGCTAACCATTTGATTTTTATGGGTGGGCTAGGATGAAAAATTTTGTCCTGCATTCTTTTTAGTTGTAATCTCTGTCCTGCCTTTTTATTTTTATTAATTTATCCTGACTTTTTTTTACATAAGTTGTCTTCCTGCCTTTTTTTTTTGCCAAGTTGCTCATCCTAACTTTTTATTTTACCCAAAACTCCTGTCCTGCCTTTTTTTTTTAAATTTCATTCTAAGTTTCACAAGACTGTTTTATCTTATTTTTGCAGAAATTTTTTTTTCTAGGTGTATACAACTGTGCAAGTATTGAACATCGCAGCTTGAAATTTATGCAATGTGACCTAAAAGACAACATAATAATGGACAGATGTAAGTATTTGGTAATATAATAATAGTTAAAGATATGGGGAATGTATGAAACTGTTTGAAAAAGTCCACATATAATACACTCCTTGAAAGTAGATTTTTATCTTTTTTACTGTTCTGCTAAATGAGGGTTTGGATGACTGAGGGGGTCCTTTATGTCTTTATTCTTTAAATATTAGACCATTTTCCTCTCTATTCAATATTTATTTTGCCCATTAATTATATTATCTCTATTCACTATATTTGTGTGCCCCATTATTCAATATTCTGTATTATTTTTGCAATTGTTTCTCTATTCTTTATTTGTTTACCCTTTATTCTGCACTTTTTTGTCAATTATTCTCTATTCTGTAAACCCCATCCATACTCTCCATTATAATATATATATTCCACTATTCATTCCAATGAAAAGGTAATATAAGTTTTATGTTGTCCATATTCTAAATTGTTCTCTGATAATACTATTAGTTACATAGTGTGCTAGTGACCTAATACGGTATATATGGGGTCAGTAAATTCCATATGGGGTGAGAGCGAAGCTCGAATCCCCATATGGTATTTTTTGAACCCATATACCGTATTACGTCACTAGCACACTATGTAACAAATTTATCTTACCGACTATCTTAACATGTGGTATTTAGACTAGTGACCTATCAAAGTGAGCAAGTCTTCAATACCGTTAGCATTAAGAAACTACTTCCATTGGTCATACAAAAAAAAAAATGCCAACAATAACAACTTGTTAGCTTTAAATGTGTTTTATGAATTTATTTCAATCTTTCATCATCAATTTGTTCGTCTGTTGAAACCTTTAAGATTTTTTCTCAGTACTGCTTTGTTTTTATAAAGGGACGTAACACCACTACTAACCTTGTATTGAAATAAGCCCCGCCTACTAACCCAATATGGAATATACATGGTCTCCTGCGGTTGCTTTTAGACAATCATATTCCTAGAAATGTATATATATATAGGAGGTAAGATAAATATATATATACCAGCATATAAAATTTGATTTCTGAGAATCACAAGAAATTTTTCACACTTTGTTCATCTAGTTTGCTTGCCTTACTTTAAAAAATCTTCTGCTTTGAAACTGCTGAATTTTTTTGAGCCAAACTAGGGCTGAATGAGTTTCAGAGTATTTAGTATAAATTTTGTATTTTATTTCCTTGCACGTCAAGAAACATAGCCACTATGGCTATAATGGAACATAGGGGTAAAATGCATTTTTTTTGCTTTTCAAGAAAATATGACAGATACAAAGAACATTTAAATGGCATTTTTAAGCCACTCATTAATAAATATTGAAAAGCAAAAATAATCATTGATGAAAGATTTTCAGCAAAATGTTACAAGTGAGCGATTAGAGCTTTGAGAGCCTCTTGTTTTAAGATATAGATGGGAGAGCTATCTTTTTAAAAGTTTGAAATTTTTTGGAGATAATTTATTGTAATATTGTCTATCTGTTCGTCCCCTCTTACGCTCTTTATACATGTACTTGGATTTCAGGATTTTATATACAGAATAGCTTTGACAGGCTCAGCTAATTCTAAATGGTCTGAAATTTTTTAGAGTAATTTTGACCACTTAACACCTAGATAAATATAAGATGAGGAGATTTGGTATGATTGCCAAATGAAGTAGAATTAACTTAAGGACACCACATGTTGTCATTGTATAGCCTTCCACAATGCAGAGCAAAATATAGACTGATTTATTACAAAACAATAAAAGAAAAACAAATTTAACAGACATAAACCAACAGCAACCATTGAGTTACAGGCATCTGACTTTGAACAGGCACATATATAACATGGTTTTACTCTTTGTTGAAGGCCTTCAGTGACCTTTAATTTCTGTGTCGTTTGGTCTCTTGTGGAGAGTTGTCTCATTGGCAATCATACCACAACTTCTTATTTTTGTACATGTACATATATATAGAATTAAGCAGGGTTAAACAGATACAGTTCAGTTTACGCCACTATAGAATTACTTTTCCACAGTTGTGAATAGTAAATTAAACTCAGATTTTTAAAATATTATGAAATTTTATGATTGAAAGATAGCAAAATTCCTATTTTTCCACAAATAGTTTCAAGTTTTCATATTTTGCAACATATTTCTTTTAATAAGAAATACTGTGCACCATGGCTTCCAAACGGTCATTTATTCCGGACTTGAAAATATTTCCTTGAAAAATGTCCGGCTGTCATCAGAAAATTTTGGAAGCCCTGGTCTGTCAGAAACAATTCACCTGAACTTGACCTCATTATATGGATCAGTATTCAAGGTTAGAGTTGCGTGATTTAATCCTTTTTTGTCGAGCCTGCCACTTCTGTTGAAGAAAGCCAGACACATGGATAGTCTGGCAGGTTTTATTGACCTTGACCTCATTTTCACAGTTCATTGCTCAGTGTTAAGTTTTTGTGTTTTGGTCTGTTTTTTTCGTAAACTGTAAGCAATAAGTCAACTATATTTGTTGTATGAAAGGATTGTAAGGTGTATATGTCTGTTTCACAGGTGTCATCTGACCTCAGTGGCGGATCCAGGGGAGGGGGGGGGGGGGGGGGGGGGGGGGGGGGGGGGTTCCAGGGGTGGCGGGCAGCGTCCACAAATATTCACTCTGTGGTTAAAGTTTTTGAAATTTTGATAACTTTCTTAAACTATCCTGGATTTCTACCAAAATTGGACAGAAGCTTGTTTATGATCATAAGATAGTATCCAGAAGTAAATTTTGTAAAAATAACATTCCATTTTTTCTGTATTTTACTTATAAATGGACTTAGTTTTTCTGCCAGGAAACAACACATTCACTCTGTGGTTAAAGTTTTTAAAATTTTAATAACTTTCTTATACTATTTTGGATTTGTACCATTTAACTTGGACAGAAGCTTGTTCATGATCAAAAGCTATTATCTAGAAGGAAATTTTGTAAAAAAAATAAATCCATTTTTTCCGTATTTTACTTTTAAATGGACTTAGATTTTCTGCCAGGAAACAACATATTCACTCTGTGGTTAAAGTTTTTAAAATTTTAATAACTTTCTTATACTATTTTGGATTTGTACCAAACTTGGACAGAAGCTTGTTTATGATCAAATGATATAGTATCTAGAAGGAAATTTTGTTTTCTTCCAGTTAATGTTTTTGTCTCGCCTTGACAGAGTCAAAAAGCGAGACATAGGTATGCTGTTTCCAGCGTCATCGGCGGCCGCGGTGACAGCAACGGCGGCGTCAACAATGTATTAGTTTGTGATTAGGTCTAGTTCATGGTGAACCACTAGTGGTAGGTCAATGATATTTGGTATGCAGTTGTATTAGCATTGGCACATCTCATTACCATGGAGATTATTTGGCCCCGCCCCCTCAGTCAAGGTCTATTGACTTTGAAACTTTTCATAGTTTACATGTATTAGTTTGTGATTAGGTCAATTTATGGGGAACCACTAGTGGTAGGTCAATGATATTTGGTTTGCAGTTGTATAAGCATTGGCATATCTCATTTCCATGGAGATTATTTGGCTCCACCCCCTTAGTCATGGTCTGTAGACTTTGAAAATTTTGCTAAGTTTACATGTATTAGTTTGTGATTAGGTCAGTTCAAGGGGAACCATTAGTGGTAGGCCAATGTTAATTGGTGTTCAGTTGTATAAGCATTAGCACATCTCATTTCCATGGAGAATATTTGGCGCCGCCCCCTCAGTCATGGTCTATTTACTTTGAAACTTTTGCTTAGTTTACATGTATTAGTTTGTGATTAGATCAGTTTAAGATGAACTGCTAATGTAAAGTCAATGATATTTGGTATGAACATTTATTGGCATTTGCAAGTATCGTTTCCATGGAGATTATATAGCCCCCACCCCTGATCATGGTTCATTGACTTTGAAACTTTTACATAGTTTACAAGTTAATGTTTGTGTTTAGGTTTGTTTAAAGGGAATGACTTATAATAAGTCAATGGTGTTTGGTATGCAGTTGTATTAGCATTGGCACATCTCATTCCATGGAGATTGTTTAGCCATGTACTTTCAGTCATGGTTCATCGACTTTGAATATTTGCATAACTTACATGTTAAAGTATTACTTTTTAAATTTCAACATTTGTATTATCAAAATTACAAAAAGGCGAGACATATCTCTGTGATAACAGTTTATTAAACATTTATTAGATTATTAAACTATCCTGGATTTTTACCAATCTTGGACAGAAGCTTCTTACAATCAAAAGATAGTATCAAGAGGAATATTTTTATTGATTTACTTCCTCATTTTTGTTGAGCCTGAGGAACCCTTACAAATTTTTTCTAATACTATATGCAAAAGGTCAACTATATTTGATGTATGGAAATTTTTTATGATCTACATGTCAGTCTCGCAGGTTTTATTTGACTTTGACCTCATTTTTCATGGTTCATTGCTCAGTGTTAAGTTTTTGTGTTTTGGTCTGTTTTTCTTGAACTATAAGAAATACTTAGTAGGTCAACTATATTTGTTGTACGGAAGGATTGTACCCTTCCCTAGATTTTCCATCAAACATGATGGAATTTTGTGATGGAAAAAATGCCATCACATTCCATCATGTTGATGGAGTATTGGAACAACTTTCCATCAATGCTGGAAAATGGTTGATGGAAAAGGTTTGATGGAATTTGTGTTCATGATGATGGAAAATTGATGGCATAATTTCCATCTGATGGTATTTTTGCCATCTGATGGATAATTGATGGTATTTTTGCCATCTGATGGAAAACTGATGGTAATTTTGCTATCAGATGGAAAACCAATGGAATATTTCCATTACATGTAAAATGCATGGAAATTTGATGGAAAATTGACCATCAGATGGAATTTGATGGATGAGTAAGGAGGATGTCTTTAGAAAATCTTTCCATTTATGGCATTTTCTGTGATTTAATAAAACAATATTTGTTCTCTGTCGTCTATAGGTAGTCCTGTTACATGTGTGTATCTTTTCGTTCAGTGTCCCATTGAAC